ACCGCTCGTAGGTAATGCATGCCAAACTATAAATAAAACATGCTAGGGGGAAACAAGAAAAGAAAATTTATAATTAATAATAATTATTATTATTAATTTAAGAAATTTATTTTGAGAGAAACTTTAAGGAATTTATGAAAAATAACATTTGACAATGATGACGACTATTACGATAATAATTATTATTATTACGGTTGACTAAATATTCCAATGCATGCAATGTGGTTATGATACGAGAACACGAGAGGTGCTGAAGCAGTAATATACGAGGGTGATGAACGCAGATTTTTTGTTTCCTCCGAAATTTACTCCTACGAGTTATGAGAATATTTCTTAGATTCTTAAGAGGGTGACTCACAGAACATGCAAGGCCAAAAGTTTGTGATTAATAAAATGATACCATCTTATTTATAGTGCGAATAATAATACAAGTGATAACGTATGGCCTTAACTATTACAATTGAGGTTTATGCTTATGGGTCAAAGCTCCTTATGAGGCCCAAATAAACAAACAGGCTTCTTAATGGATAAGTGCGACGACATGGCGAATGCCCGCGCATGAGATTTCGGGCCTTATTCCGCGTTCTCCGACGAAAAGGGAAAACTTTCCCCCTTCAAAACCCTAACTCCGCCCGCTACTCCTCCTCCGCGGCCGCCGTCGCANCCCAAAGAAGAAGATCCCGATGAGATCCTCTGCTCCTCTCTCAGCACCGCCTGCTCCCTCTCCACTCCCATCACTAACCCTAACCCTAGCCCTAATGGCTCTCTGAAATCATCACCTGATTCTTCTCACATCGAGAGAGCCTGGGCCCACTGGAAGAACCTCGGAGCTCCGAAGCTCGTGGTGGCGCCAATGGTGGACAACTCCGAGCTCCCCTTCAGGATGCTATGCAGGAAGTACGGAGCCCAGGCTGCGTACACGCCGATGCTCCATTCGAGGATCTTCTCTGAGAATGACAAGTATCGGTCCATGGAGTTCACTACTTGCAAGGTAAAGGAGCAAACTGCTTGTTGTTTTTTTTCCCTTTTTTGGTTGCAAATATTTTCTCATGGGTTTTTCTTTGTATGAATAATTGTAGGAGGATCGGCCGTTGTTTGTCCAGTTCTGTGCAAATGATCCAGACACTTTGTTGGAAGCGGCGAAAATTGTGGAGCCTTATTGTGATTATGTCGATATAAATCTGGGGTGAGTTTATTCTTCTTTGCTTATTTTGATGTTCGAATAAATCCTAAAGAGGAGTTTTATGTAATCTAGATAGTATAAAATTGTAATCACAAGTAATTATTTGGTAATTACTTCTGTGCTTGTAGTTTTCAGAAATAAAGTTGATTGGCAGTATAATCACAAACGATCTGTATGATTTTTGGGTCCTTTTTGTGTATCTAGGAATCAAGTTGTAAGGCTTGAAGAAAATATCACTAATCTAGTATGTCATATTTATGGATAGGAAGTAACTTGGAAACATATGAATTCATTTTAGAGCTCACTCATGTAGCTTGCATATATTAGATTTTGTAAATGATAAGAGCTGAGACCCCAAATACATTATGAAATATATGAAGCTCAAGTGTTTTGGTTGGATTTAGAGTTACTTTAAATGCTTGATGAAAGATTCATTTAAGAGTTTGAATGTGCAATTGGGACACTGGTTGTTAGCTTGGAGGGGAGCAATATCTGGGCAATATTTAAATTTTAACTTACCTGTAGGGGCATCATGACGGAAGGTTAAAATGAACTTTAATTAATGATTTAAATAGTAGGGAAAATTCGATGATATCATTGAAAAATTGAAATGGCCCAGACATTACTGATACAAAAAATTAGGATTAAGGCATTCTTTGGATTAGTATGTAACCACTATGTTAACCTAGTACTTCTATCATGAAGTCGTGCCCGTACCGGACACGTACTCGACATGTATCTATACCTAACTTCATGGACACTTCTTGGATATATACATACATTTATTCAGACATATACTCAAATATACGATATATGTTTTAATTTAGAACATTTGTCGCACAGTTCTTGGACATATATCCTACACCACATTATTTCTTGAAACTCTATAGACATTGGTTGAGTTTATTTTAGGCCACACCCAAGTTAAAAACTATCATTTCAAAGGGTCGTTTGGGTATCTAGTTAAAAAATGAGCAGTTTTCAACTTATAATAATCACCATAATAGAAGAAACTCAAAATGTGCTAGAAATTTTAATTCTAATGGCACTTGAACTAAACCAATAATGATATCATGTAAATTATCAATTTCAACATATATATGTAGTTGTGTACCCGTACCTTACAGTTTACAGATTTTCCATGTCTCGCACCTGTACCCGCACCTGTACCTCTACCCACATCCATACCCATTTGTACGCAACTTAGTATGTAAGTAATTGGATAAAGGATAGGTTGCACAAAACCTCCCAAAGCTTTAGGGCGTTTCTCACGAAACCCTCTGAACTTTGTTTATTTCACTGAACCCCAAACTTTTCCAATGTAACCCTCAAAATTCCAAAGCGTCTCAATAAACCCTAAGCTTTTAATTTTTCCAAACATCCCCCCTAAGGGCGTTATTGTACAACATCAAAATACCCAAATATCCTCAACAGTAAAGTCTCCTAAGATTATGTTTACTTGTAAAAACCACCTAACTTAAAAAATATTAATAGAAAAATAAAATCAAATCTCCAAAACTTTCCAATCAGTCAAAATATAAAATTAATGATATATAGGGTTTTATGTCACGGAGGGCCGGAGGGGTATTTTGGTCATTTTTTATCATGTGCTTTGCATAAGCGAAGGTTAAACCTAATGGTAAATGGTGTTAAGTTTGGGAATCCATGGGAAAAGTTTTTGGGGTTTAGTGGAATGAACAAAATTTCATGGGGTTTATTTTAAACTCCCATAGGTTTGGGAATTTTGTTTAGTTTACCCTTGGACAAAGGTGAAATGCAATGTCTTTAAAAGTAGATAATGTAACTTTGCATCAAAACAATCCATTATTTATTCTTGGATAATTTGCACTTTGATGTCATAAAGTTGTCACCTCTTGGAACTTTGATGTCTCAGTTTATTTTTGACACTTTGATGCCACAAACCTTCTTTGTAATTTACACTTTCTGGCTCAAGCTGCAAATCATTCTCTGTAAAGTTAAGGTTTAGGGGCACCAAAAAGTCAAAAGTAAACTTTGAGACATCAATCAAAGTTTTAAAAAGGTAACTTTATGGCACCAAAATGCAAATTGACCATTATTCGTCAACCACAACAATGAAAGTTTTGATGTGAATAGCACATGTTCTTATGCATTGCTAATTATGAAATTGGATATGTTGTGGTAAACTTCTTCCCAATCTTTTGAAAGCAAAACACGAGATCAAGGCGATGATGTTCGGTGTTGCATGAGGCGAGATTCGCCAAAAAAGGTGATTGCTGAGTGAACCAATGTGATAAATATTGAAAAAATTAATAAAAATTACAAATAATATGCAAATATCAATAATAGAAACAAGGCAAATCGATCCCAACCAAAATTTCAAAGCCACAAATCTAATAAGTCATAAGTCATCTAAATGAAGTTATAAGTAACAAATATTAAATAGTAATATTAACTAATAACTGCAAACTCTGAACTTTAAGATTCAAATTGTGGCATGTCATCATAATGATATAGGTAGTTAATTACATTACAACAAAAAATAGCAAAAATTTGATCAAGAAAAAAGAAACACAAAACTTCAACAACAAAAACAAACTTTACTTTATCGAATACCTTTCACACCTTAAAAATTTTGAAGTAGAGACAAACATCTTGCGCCTTGCATCAAAAGAGGGGAGTGCCTGAGGCGCAAAGGCGAGTTCCTGATGTGCCAAAAGAAGTTGTTTTTGTTTACTTTTGATAATTATTCCGCAAATGATGCGATTCTTAATTTATTAAAAAATAACTAAATTTAAAAGAAGCACTTCTTAAAAACAAGAAGTTTTTTCATATTAGATGTGCTCATATCCTTATCTTGATTGTACAAGATGATTTAAAAGAAGTTCATGATTGTATTTATATAATACGTGAAAGCGTCAATGATATAAAAGGCTTTCAAGAAGAAAGCAACAATTTTGGGAACGTGTGCCTCATGAATCTTGGAAAGAGTCTAAAGCAAGATGTTTCGACAAGATAGAAATCTACTTTTTTAATGTTTGAGAGTACTTTATATTATCGCCGTGCATTTATGCACATGCAATTGAGTTAATCAAATTACTCAAACCTCTATCCATCTCAAGAAGAATGGGTAAGGCCGAGAAGGTGAAGACTATAATCGGTTCAAAATGCAAGATGCAAGCAATAGCAAGTAAAACACTCTACTTGGTCCAATATTTTCAAACTTCTTGTGCATTTTAGTTGCTACTGATTTCACATATTCATCACTATCCTCCATTCGAAGTTTTAGAGTACATTGCACAACAAATACTTGAAGAAAATAGAGATTAGCCATTAGATAATTTGTATTGGAGAAAATGCAAGCAATGTGATAGAAAGTGGGCAAGAACCTCTTCACCTTCTCCGTCTTATCCCATTCTTCTTGAGATGGACAAAGGTTTGAGTAATTTGAATAACTCAGTTGCATGTGCATAAATAAACGACGATAATATAAAACACTCAAGCACTAAAAAAGTAGAATTCTATTTTGTTGGAACATCATGCCTTAAACTCTTATTCACTTCCAAAGATTCATGACACTTGTTCCCAAAAATTTCACATTCTTGTTGAGAGTCTTTTATATACTTGACGCTTTCACGAATTATATAAATACAACCATGAACTTGTTTTAAACCATCTTGTACAATCAAGATAAGGATATTAGCACATCTAATATGAGAAAACTCCCTCTTTTGAAGAAGTGCTTCTTTTAAATTGTTTTTTTTTTAATAAATCAAGAAACACATCTTTTGCGGAGGCATTATCAAGAGTTAGAGAAAACAACTTCTTTACAACTTTCCAATCAACTAACAACTTGCAGATCTTCTCACAAATGGTAACACCGGAATGAGGAGGGCGGCATATAAGAAAAGTTGAGGATCGGATTTTGTAATTTCCACTCATGATCAATATAGTGACTCCTGAGACAAATATATCCATCGGTGGCTAGGGATGTCCACAAATCATATGTCAAGTTAATGCTTTCCAGAAGTGACTCTAAAGCTTCTTTAAGCCTTATTTTTACTCTCTTGAATAGATTTTAAGAACATTGGCTTTAACCATATTTCTCGATATGTATTTTAGATCCTCATTAAAATATGAGAGAATTGCTCGAATACATTCATACTCAACAAATTTGAAAGGTAACTCGTGAGACTAATAACTCCCTAAACTTATCCGGATCAAAGTTAGATCTTGAAAAACTCATAATTATAATATTTTGCATTAAATAAATCCTCAATATCCTTTTTAGTTCCTTTCTTGCAATTTTTATTGTGTCTTTAACATGTTTTTTGTACCATTGTTCTCTTTGGCGGCATATTTTATTCCACACTTCTTGCAAATTGAAAATTGTTAAACCCTCGACTCCATTTCAACAAGGTTAAACTTTTCCCAAACTTTTGATGGGAATCTTCTTTTCTGCTTTTTATCTACTATTCCTTTGCTTTTTTTTAACAAATATAACTAGATATCTCTTCTAGTTCTTCACTTGATGAATCCACTTCTACATTGTCCTCTATAGGGATATCGATAGCATTAGACTCCATTAACTGTGAAAAAATTACAATACTACATAGGATTCATCCCCAGAATGAGTTACAAAACTACATAACCATTAGGCTTGAGCATGAGACACACTTTTTCATCCACGTATTGATAAATAAGCCAAGCTTAATTATCATCCCCAAAATGAAAACACAAGAGAACATCAGTGTTGAATTGAAAGTAATAGTGAATAGATGCTCAAAAGCACATAATATTACCTACCGAAGCTTAATAATGGACAGTAGGTCAGTAAGCAAAAGATCACAACGTCCAGTAATTCTCCTAAACAACAACAACAAATTGAATTCGTGTCTCAATTGCTAGATTACTTCTTCTAGCATAATTTAAAAAGAGAAATTAAGTTCCATCCATAAAAGCATAAAAAATTTTACTCACATTTTTGTGAACACTATTTGGACTACTTCTATTTTCGAAGTTTATAGTTATATAATCTGAATTAATCTGCAATAAATGTTGTGTACTGCACTTAACATGCTAAAAACTATGAAATAGTATCAGAATAATGGAAGGTTGCCATTTTTGAAAATAAAAAATTACCCATCAATCAAAGCCCTAAAAAGATTTGAGCTTAAACAGAAATATTAAGCAATCATGAGAATTCAATAAAATTTTATCCAGAGAATTGAAGGTTAAAAAGAAAATTAGAGAAAAAGAAAGGAGAGGTAGAGAACAGGAGAAGGAGAGGTCAAAAAGAGAACTTACAGCAAAGGATGAAAGCTCTTGCCGCGCCGCTCGTCTCTGCCTCTCTCCGCCGCTGTGTCGAGCTCCTTCGAAGATTGAAGATGAAAGTCTAGGGTTTTTCTTTTTCTCAGAGAGCTCCTCAATGAATATATCGCTTTTCCCCAATCAGTGCGCTCAAACTCGTTTGGAACTAACTGGGTATTAAATGGGGTATGCAGGTCAGTCCGGGTCAACCTGAACTGACCCATCTAATAAACGAGTCAGTTAAGGTTGACCAGCTTATGACCCGACCCATATAACTTGACCCATAGCCATTATAAATGGGTCAGGTTGGGTCAGATTGACACATTGGTTCATAATTTGCCACTCCTAATTGTTATATGCCATGTCATTATATGCAAACATCAAATTGATGTTATCAAAATTGGCATACAAGAGCATTTGAGCACCTGTTAGTTAAATGTCAAAATGACTTATGCTCGAGCAGATTGCCACTGTTCAGTAGGCTGGTCCTATGAACATATATTGGTATTTCCATTCCATTTATTATGATGTTGTAGAAGTTCTCTGCGCCACACACATGCAATCACCTTTTCCATGCATGTCTTGTCCATATCTTTTTTTTATGATTTATTATCTCCATATGTCTGCGTTCCTGACCTCGTCATGTGTCCATGTCGTCAATATGAACCTTGTTCTATAAATGATGCTAATTGTTGATAATGGATCTTAACATGATGTACATGTTTATTTATGATGTAATATATTTTAAATTAGTTATACGATTTTACTATTTTCTACTTAAGCATCTTTTCACATTGCTTAAAAGGAATTGAGATTGTGTATAAACCTTTTGTTTTAAATGAGCTTGTTGACAAAATTTACTTCTCTGCTGTTCACCATGTGCCTGCAATGGCAGCACACTCTCCCCCACTTTGCCATGTAGGGTATGCTCAGTTTCCAAAACCCACCATTAAATTTGTCTCCTTGTAATGTGACCTCAAATTGAACTGAGTTTATTTGTCAATTACTTCAGTATCTGTATGAACACATGTTTTATGTTTCGACAACATTATATTTGTGCAATTATTTTAATGGTTTTGGCACTAAAAGGGGAATCAGACCACTTGTTCACGAGCTTCTAGATATATATTTGTGCTACATATTTTGAAGCTGGAATTTTAGTTTCCTTTTCTCCCAAAGTCCTAATATACTTTCTCCTTCATAATCATAAAGATGTCCACAGCGGATTGCTCGACGAGGATACTATGGTGCTTTTCTCATGGAAAACCTTCCTCTCATAAGGTCACTAGTCGAGAAGCTGGTGGCTAATCTCCAAGTTCCAGTTTCATGCAAGATCCGCATTTTCCCAAATCCGCAAGACACAATCTCATATGCGAAGATGCTTGAGGAAGCTGGCTGCTCTCTTGTAGCTGTCCATGGTCGCACGAGGGATGAAAAGGACGGGAAGAAATTCCGAGCTGATTGGAATGTCATCAGATCAGTAAAGAACGCTCTCCGGATTCCTGTTCTTGCTAATGGAAACATACGGCACATGGAAGATGTCAAAGAGTGCTTGGATCAAACTGGCACTGATGGTGTGCTTTCAGCCGAGACTCTTCTTGAGAATCCTGCACTCTTTGCAGGATTTAGGACAGCAGAGTGGAGAGAGAGTATTGGGGATGACCAAAGTAGTGATGTTGTGAATGGTGAGGGATTATTAAACCAGGCAGATCTTGTGGAAGAGTATCTGAAGCTGTGCGAGCAATATCCAGTACCATGGAGAATGATCAGATCTCATGTGCACAAGATGTTGGGGAATTGGTTTAAGCTCCATCCTGAAGTGAGAGAGGAGCTGAATCGCCAATCAAAGCTCACCTTCGAGTGGTTGCACGAGATGTTGGGCAAGCTTCGGAGTCTTGGGGGTGGTGTTCCACTTTACCCTGGTCCAACTAATACTAATAAATGTGCACAAAATGGATTTAGTACTTGCAGTTCATGATGCAGATAAGATACCTCAAGATTAAGATCAAACCATTGGCTTCCATTCTTATGAATTATAGCAGCTACCGAAGTGCTTCATTTTTGTACCTGATATTTGGGGCGCGGAGGTAGAAAGAATTCTTACCATTGCACTAAGGTGATTTATTTGAATGTTAGCTACATTTTTGTCAGACATTTATTTAACATAAATATATGTATTATTGTAACATCAAATTTGTTATCTATTCATTGCAGTAAAAACTGAATGTAAGTGACGGTTGGTGTGGATGGTGCCTTTTATGCATTTGGTCGAGTACTCTGAGTTGTATTATTGTGTTTTTCAATCATGTTCTTCTTCAGCGGAAAATGAGCATCCCAGTACTTCCCAGTTTTCGTTTGTTTTGATCCAGCTTGTATATTGCTTTATGCTGTCAGTTCCCTTTATTTTGCTTTTCTCTAGGAGTTGTGCTACAGGACCCCAAATCATGGGACCCAAGGGGGGACAGGTGAGGTGTCAACCCCTGGTTGCATGATCTATAGTTCATGAACAGTAGATCATGTACCCAGGGGTTGACACCTCACCTGTCGCCTCTTGGGTCCCATGATTTGGGGTCCCCAAGGAATTTTTCTTTCTCTAGTTATACAAGACTTGTTCGGCTGTAGACCTTGTCGTTGCCTTGTAAATAATTAAAAGTGAGTAAATTATCTTCAGATCACAAATGAGAAGTGAAGGGTCCTTAGAATGTAACATGTGTCTTCATAAATCATATTAGTCCATAATCACCAGCTCCTATTTCCCTAGTTAATATATTGAAAAATAACAGACTCACGAAACAGTTAGGCTCTGTTCAAGCAAGCGAAAAAAAAACTAAGTAACAGATTTTAGCAAATGGGTGTAACATAGTCTTCATATACCAACATTTATTGGCAGTACTATCTTCACCATTAAGCTATACATATTCTCAGAAACAGTGTTATTACTGCCTTCCTTAATAGACCGCATCAAAGCGGACAAAATTGGTGACAAGGAGCTCAAAGAAGCTAGGAGAAGAGTAACGGAAGGCAGAAGGGCGGATGTCTGGATTCATGAGGGTGGATCTTCGTGAAAGCGAAACTGTCATGTGTGCGCCAGAAGGCGAAGTGTGAAAGAAGCTACTCGACGCAGCTCATTGTTCGATATCGTCACTAAATGGCGGATCCAGGATTTCTAAAAGTGGTGTCACTAGAGAATTAATTATAAACTGGTAAACTCATCACGGGGTTGATCCGGATGGTTGGCAGATTTCAATATAACTTCTATGGTCTCCGGTTCGATATCAGGCTGGGTTTTAAAAAAAATTAAAAAAAAAATCACAAACATTCCTGACGAGTTTTCACATTTTGGAAAAAGTATGTAACCTCATTGTTAGTAACACTGTCAAATATGGTCTTTTCATACTAGTTCCCCACAAGTTTTATATTTTAAAATTAGACCCCCAAGTCTTCATACTTTAAAACTATTCGCCCAATCATTAAGTATTTTGAAATTAGTTCCTCAATTCTTTATATTTTAAAATTAGTCCTCCAGTTAGCACTAGGTAGAAATATGGGGACTAGTTTCAAAACACTCGTAGGATTTGGAAGGACTAAATTCAATATATGAAGATTTAGGGGACTAATTTCTAAATACTTAAAAGATTTGGGAGGCTAATTTCAAAATATGAAGATTTGATGGATTAATTTCAAAATATGAGAGATTTAGGGGACAAATATTTAAAAACCCCATTACGAATACGTAGTTCTTTAGTGGGTGGGTGTGGCAGAGATGGATTTGATTTTGTGGACATGGATTAACGATTTATAAAGTGGGTCACCTAGAGGTTGTGTCTAAAATAAGGTGGATGTTATAATCAGTAATGAGAGGTGGGGTCCTAGTCCTTGACCCTACTTTGCATAATGTGTATCCCCCCTGTTCTCATTCATCCAAGGTGAACGAAGATGTACAGAGATATGAAACTACACCTCGTATGAGAAGGAATAAAGAGATGTTGGAAAAAGGGATGCAAGCCTAGAGGGAGAGAGGTGTGTAAATAGGATTGCTACAAATTTTCAGATAAACTCAGAATATGCAGCAGAAATAAAATATGAGAAAAACTAAAAGCAACAAACACAGGAACACACGAGTTTTTTTTATAATGGTTCGGATCAAAATCATACGTCTACTCTTTCTTCTCACGAAGAGTCTTCTTCACTATGATCAGAGTTCTCCTTATCACAATCCGATTAAATAGGCTTTACAAATAGGGCCCTGAAATCTACTCGAAATCAGTCAAAATAACCAACTCCTCGTAATAACTAGAAGAAACCAAACTCTAGCTAGCCACACTCAATTACCTGGCTTGAGCACGCCAACCCTCAATTACCCTGTTTTGAGTACGCTTAAAAACTTGCAAGTTTGAAATACAAAACCAACTCTAAAAACAATTAAAATGCAATTGAAAATATCTTACAGCCCTTTTAAAACAAATCATTCTTCAAACTTATGTTGATGATGATCCACGAAGAAGCAATGTTGAAGTTGAACGCAAAGGGCACTCCTTCTCGCTGAGACGATCTGCTGATGTTGAGCGCGACAAAAGAAATTGAATGAGGCTCAGGGAATCAACTTCTCAAACTCAAACTCTCTCAAACCCTAGAATTTGATCTCTCAATCTTATGCAAAATAGCCTCTCTTTCTTGTTCTTATTGTTGTTATTAATCTCCTCATCAGTCTCTCTTTAAATAGATCTTGATTAAATTGGAAAGAGGTTCTCTAATCAGAGTACCAATAGGAGATCAAATCTATCAACGAATGACTGAGATAGAATCCTAAAATCTGCCAAAACACGTCCGGACCATCGATGGTTAAACCCAACCATCGATTTTTCAAATTTGGTTTCTGGAATTTATAAATTGTTAACTATAGTCAATTGATGCTTGAAGCGACCATCGATGGTTGACTGTAGCCCATCGATGGTTTGATTTCTTATTTTTTGGAAAATGCAGATTGTTGACTGTAGTCCATTAATGACTTTTGCGACCATCGATAGTGCCTCAAGACCATTGATGGTTAATAGGCTGAAATCAACTCTCATGTTGATTTTTGCATCGTTTCGGGTCGCAACTTGTTCGTACCTATTTATTTTTGAAATAAATCATCTCACAAACTAATTAGTATCAAATGAGAGTTTGTTATTGATTAAACAAGAGATATTGCATGAATAACATTCTACCCGAACAAAGATCTAACAAGAGAAACATTGAATCGTATGTGTCGAAATGCGTCACTTGCCAACATGTGATGGTTGAGCGCCAAAGCATAGCCATATTATTACAGCCTTTACCTATAATGGAATAAAAATGAGAGCACATCACCATGAAGTTCATACAACAATAGTTATCGAGCTAGTATTCAAATGTAGCCTCTTGAAACTTTGTATGGCAAGAGTTGCAGATCGCCTCTATATGGTAGGATTATATTAGAGAGCAACAGTTTTCGATAACAAGCTTATACAACAATCAGATGAACATGTGAAGGTGATCCACGCACACCTCAAAGCAGTACACAATTGGCAATGTAGTTGGACAAATAGAAGAAGATTAATATTGGATTCAACATCGAGGACAATGTTTTTTTTTTTTTTGCATGCATTTTACTTACTCATGGAGTGATACATTTTAGAAGTCGAGGGAAGTTGAACCTGCGATATATTAAACCTTTTCATCATCATAAGACGTATCAGCAAGGTACGTAGCATATAAGTTGGCATTGCCACCCTCTTTGCATATATGGAGTGCACAACAGGTTTTACGTAACTTAGTTGAGATAGTATGAGCGAGATGAGAGACACATATTGGATAATTCAGAACTAATGATGGGAATAGATTTTTCGTATTTGCAGCATGCAAAAACCATCATCGACTAAAGGAATCATTGAACATCGAATAAGGTGATACCTATAGAGCTTGTTCAACGAAATCCACTCACCCAAGGAAGCCATTTAATTTGCACTTAACCAAAGTTTACAACATTTTTAACTTCACTAAGTGTCAATGTCTACTCTGCTAGCTGAAAAGCAGAGAAAAGGGGAGTCGGTTAACGACTTCGTGAAGAGATTCAGGAATCGGTTGTTGCATTACCGTAAACAGGTCTCTGAGAGCACATTGATTGAGATATGTCGCAACAACCTCTCGATCCACATTTTGTCCAAGCTTGGCGCGGTGGAACCTGTGAAGATCATCTCTGTAAGACAGTCGAATGCTACATAGATGACTTGGTTGTGAAGAGTCGCAGCAAGGACAATCATCTTCAAGACTTGAGAACGATGTTCGAACTAATGCGTTCCCATCAACTCAAAATTAATCCCACGATATCATTTTTGGGGATGTCGAGTGGTAAGTTTCTTGGATTTGTTTTCACAACGGAAGGGATTCATGTAGATCCCGATAAAGTGCGAGCTATCTAAGAATTGCAACCACCTAGAAATCTCAAAGAGTTGAGAGGACTACAAGGACGTCTGGCATACATCCGGAGGTTCATTGCAAATCTTTTGGATAAGTGTCAACCCTTATCAAAGCTGATGAAAAAGGGTATTTCTTTCATGTGGGACAATGCTTGCCAGAAAGCATTCGATGAGATCAAATCTTATCTCTCGAATCCACCAGTTTTGGCAGCCCCAATATCGAGAAAACCCTACTTGATCTATGTGCGATCGATGGAGCACTCTCTCGGTGCTCTCTTAGCACAAGACAACAACGATGGCCATGAGCAAGCCGTCTATTACCTGAGTAGAACCTTATAGGGAGCCGAACATCGGTATCCCATGGTTGAAAGGGAATATTTGGCCCTAGTGTTCGCAGTCCAGAAAATATGACATTATTTGGTCGGTTAATCCATACATGTCATCTCCCAAGTGAATCCAATCAGAGTCTTCATAACACAGCCCGGGTCGCTAAATTGACGCCTGGCAAGATGGGCACTTTTTCTATCTTATTACGATATACACCTTATGCCACAGAAGTTCGTCAAAGGGCAAGCTATCTGTGATCTCATAGCCAGTCATCCGTTAAAGGTGAAGACTGATTTATTCAAAGATATGTTGGATGAAACCCACGAGGTTAATATGACTTTGCAGGATGAAGTTTGGCAATTATTCTTTGATGATGCATCATGGGTAGGCCCAGAAGGGATAGTTTTTGAGGGAGTGGGGGTCATATTGATCTCTCCCCATAATCTCGTACTGCATCGAGCCTTATTTTTAATAGAGTCGTGCTCTAATAATGTGGCTGAGTACAATGTCTTGCTCATTG